GATCTATTACAGTTGGGAGCATCTGCAATGTGACAAAGTGGTTTAATTTGCCTATAAGTCGATGCTGCTATTGTTGAGGTACCGTTGTTTGACTTGTAAACAAAGATGTAGTGGTATTTTCATTTCTTCTATGGTAAAATTCAAAACTGCTACTAGTAGCAAATTGGACATCAATAATTACAAAATCATCCATCCCAAAAATTTAAAGAAATCTCAAAGCCCATACCTTTGAAGTCAACTTTGATTGAATATGTGATAAGCCTTCCCTAAGCCATACCTCTGGATAATGGTTTTTTCACTTTTTTGTACTCTTTTTCCTAGAAGTATCCGGTTCTCATAATTTGGGGAATTGGGGATTTCCTTCATTACTCCATTTAATTTAATTGCATTGACAACTAATAATCCTACCCCCTTAACTTCTCTCCCATTCTTTTCTTCTGACAAGAAAACCTTGTTTCTCAGAAGTGAGGATTCTATTTCTTTAGTCCCTTTCTGCTATCTGATCTTAAACCTTCGGATCAAACAATGGGCCCAACCATTGGCTGGCTTCTTGACTTGGCAACTATCTCAAATAACATATGCAACCTTTAATATACTCGTATCAGTCATTGTCATTACATTAACGTACTACGGAATACTGTACTAATGTATAGGACCACAGGTATATACTACCGATACTGAAAGATTTGGACTAGGATGTAATAGCTGCGTGAATCAAAATGCGTCCTATAATATTTTGGCCGTGTTTGGTAACTAGCTTATTTGAGCAAAATTAGCTTATTTGACCAACATTAGCTTATTTGCTATTAAATAAGCTAATTCAAAGTGTTTGTTGGGAAGATTATTTGAAGAGCTTATTCCACTAAGAATAACTTTTGTACACATCCGGTGTATAATTTACTGTACGTCGGGGTTCACTTTTAATCAAAATTTAGGGTCACTTTTACAACTTTTTGGGTAACTTTTATTAATAAAGCATAAATACTTTGTAACTTTTATTTATGTCAGGATAGCTTTTATCATCTTAGGGTAACTATTGCTCATTTTAGGGGTAACTATATAACGGATGTACAATATTTATTCTACATCAGATTTATTTAAAAGTTTGTCTTCTACTAAATAAGCTCTTTTTCAAAAAGCTCCATTTAGGAGCTTTTTCAATTAGCCTATACAATGCTTATGGTGAAATGACACTTATACCCCCATTTAATTAAAAATCCTATATGAACTACCTACCCCACAATTAGTTTATTTGTTATTCCACATAATCAATCAAATTTAAACAATCAGCTGTTTATCAAAAACTTTTGTACCATAAGCTAATAAAATAAGTTAGTTAAATCAGTTAACACAATAAGCTAGTTAAAATCAATTAACACAATTAGCTTTCAGCTTTTTCCCAAACACGACCTCTGACTTGTGACAATAGCACGGAGTATTAGTATTCACGTAAACTTTACTAAGTTCCAAACTTAATATGACTCGTTTGGAAAGCATAGGGTGTTAATATTGGAGTTTTAATTGGAGATTATTATGTATAATCATTAATCAACATTGATCAGAGTTTATCAAAATTTTAAACCAATTCATTTGCCCTATTCTAGTGAATAATAACTCAGTCAAAATTTAAATCCATGATTCAGTTTTGTTATACAGAAGATCGTCTTGTCATCATAAGATCAACTTATTATAAAAAGTGGTTTTATAATAGTAAGATAGTCCTACACGATTCTCAAAACATAAGGCCTTATAATGACCAATGCTAACCTAAAGAATATCACAAATTTCACATGTGGTTGGCCACACCGTGTAGCAGAGGTTTCTTATTTAACGGTGACCCATGACCAACCGAGTAATCTCTGAGTAACCCCTGACCGAGTGAGTAACCCTGAATAAGTAACTCTGACCACACTGAAAATGCGTTCAAAGATATAGAATATACAAAAAAAAAAAAAAAAAATATTTTTATGGTAGTTTAAATTGTTATATTTTTTTAACCTTTTTATGGTGTTAAATACAAAAAAAAAAAAAAAAAAAAAAAAACACACAAAAAAAAAACAAAAACATAAAAAAAAAAAAAAACAGTGATTTTTTTCAAATAATGGTTATTTATAGGTGGCTTTTACAAATTATTCATTTAAAAACTGAAAAATTAAGATAGATTTAAGAAAATTCAACATGAGTTTTGAAATATCAAAAATGCTTAGAGTGAATAATTTTGTTTACAATAAAATCTTTTAATATTTCGAATCAATTGGGGAATCTAATGTTAAAGTGGTGTGGAAACGACATTTTAGAAAAATGGTGGTACTCCTTCCGACTTTCGTGTTTTAATAAGTGTTACACTTTTTTTTTACAAAAAGCTAAAATATTATATCTCTCTCCTTTTATAGTCTCCACCTAAATTCAATACTACTTTTTTTATTACTTATTTCCTCTTACATTCATTAGTTTGCAATAAACTATTAACTCCAACTACCCCACTTACCTCTTATTTTATTTAAGTTAATTAAATTGCATAAAATTATGTATCGATTATAATGTAACACTTAAAAAGAACATGGAGGAAATATAATAAGTCCAATTTAATAGTGAGGTAGTGTTGGTACCTGGGGCAGGGGCTGGGTTCAACAGTTAAAGACACAAGGTACCATGAAGCCGTACCATTGAAAATCACATCCAAAAACAGCTCAATTTAGGTAACACTGATTGAAGAGTGAGAAGATACCTTAAAGTCAAATCATGCGAGCCTCGCGTCAGCAGTTTGATATTCTTTTACTTGTATTTTTTTAATCAAAATCCGTACTTATGTTTCTAAAGTGTTACGTACCTCTCTCTCATCACTAACAAGTACGCGGTTTTTAAGAGACAGATTAGCAACAGCTGGTGTTGCTCTTTTTCTATAGTAAGTATCCACTCTCCTACTGTTTGTGTTTTGCGCGTTTAGACTCATGTCTCATCTATTTACTCTCCATTTTTTGCATCCTGCAAATCCAAGAACCTGCTTGGAAAGAATCCTATGCCTCCAAATATTTATAATATTGCATCCTATCCCATCCTAAATACAAAGATTTGTTCCCATCTACTTAGTAGTACTCTGTATTAGTTTTTGATTAATATAGCAATGCCTCCATGTGGCTTCTCAATCATTCCATTTCTTTTCTACACTTATGGGACCAACATTATTAAGATAAAGACGAGTGAGTGATAATTAAGTTGCTCATTTATTTTGTTTTACTCCGTAATTGCTCATTTCAAACACTCCTACATCAAAGTGACCTAACTACCAAAGCAAGTCATTGTTAAAATCATAGTGGAGAAGTAGACTATGCTGCAAAACCAGTATTTTTTTAAAATAAATTCTGTTTCGTTTGTTTGTGAATTGTTACATCACAGTTAAATATGTGTGATGATGGGCTAGTTGCAAGAATTTTAAATATGATATAAAGTAAAGAAAATATAAAATGAGTGAAAACGTTATAAGAATTTTAAAAATAAAGCAAGGATCATTTTCCTTTAATAGTTCATAATACTACCTCTGGTCCAAATTACTCGCAACTTCGAAATATTTTATATCTAAAAAATAATACCCCAAAGTTGCGAGTAATTTGGACCGGAAATAGTAGTTACCATAGGAGTATAAACTACTCTGTAACATAAATTGAGTCCACATAAAAGGGATTCACTTAGCTTTCTATAGCTTTACTATGCATAAGTAATAATAAAAAAAGTTTTTACAAAGTATACACTACTCCTTTTGTTATTTTATTAGTCTTTAAACTCCGCAATTGAAATCTTCCTGCAAGAAAACAATAGTCCCAAAGTGTAAAGACTAACTAAAAAATGACGGAGGGAGTAGTATGTAGTAAATATTGTGACGCGGATCTATCTAGTTCACATAATGTATTTATTTCCTTGAACGTAAAAGATGAAAGATGGTCAAGGGCATATATTAATGTTAAAAAAAAATATTGTGTGAATTAAAAAACTGAAGATAATATCTTTGAATGGAGGGTAAAAAAATACCACTCCAGGGTTTACCCTGTGTACATAATAAACAAGATAGTAAAACCGGTGCATAGTGCAGAGAAAATCCAGCTGCAACTGGCTTTTGCTTTAATCAAAGTCATATTCTGATTTGGGGTTTGGGAAATGCTTCAAAATCATTTTTTCCAGGCAACTTCTGCATTGCTAATTGCATAAGACGACTGTACTCCGTATCTGTTAACTTCACCTACAGTCCTAACCCTTAGACCAAAAAAAAGGCATCTCATTTACTATAAACTATAATACAATTTCTTTTCTTCTTTAAATACTCAATTAATTAATAAATAAGTACGCATTACTCATACTTCATGGTAAATTAGAAATTGCTAATTATTCGATTAGGCACTTGTATGTGTCGGCATTTTTGCCATTTTCTTGCAATACTACAAGCAAAAACCTACTGTATAACACATTGCCACTTTTATTTTTTATTAAATTTTTTTTTTAAATCACTAATCAGTTATCCCTTAGATAAAAACTTTATTAGTTAGTAACTTAATATGGAATACTACTGTAATATAGAAGCAACTTTAGGTATTATTTGTGAGAAAACTGTTTCATTACGATATATGACTATCTTTTTTATTCCATTTTCACCACAACATAATAGTAGTAAGGCCCCGTTCTCTTCACCTTAATTTTGCTGAACTGAAATTATTTTTACTGAACTGAAATAAGTTTTGTTGAACTTAAATTAATTTTACTGAACTTAAATTAATTTTACTAAACTGAAATTATTTTTGCTGAACTGAAATTATTTTTACTGATTTTCTATTATAATTCTTTTTTTAATAAAACTGAATTTTGCTGAACTGAACTTATTTTTACTGAATTGAAATTATTTTTACTGAACTGAAATTAATTTTACTAAACTGAACTTATTTTTACTGAACTAAAATTATTTTTACTTAATATTATTTTTTTAAGGTGAAGAGAACAGAGCTTAAATGACAGTTCATGGGCTATTTTGTGGGAAAGTTACTGATCATTAAAAAGAAGAAAGAGAGGGGAGGGAGACAAAGACATTTGATACTACCTACTCTATGTCTATTTGCCTTTTTTTCTTTCTTTTTTCCATATGAATCTACACTACACACCTTGGAGTTATTTTTACGTATTTATTTATTCATTCATTAAAATAACAAAGGAAGTAATATTTGTGATCTGTCACCCATTTCCTCAACCTTCTTTGCTTGACTTGAGGGATCTACTAGGGACTATATATATAAATGACTCTAAATCCCCATTTCTAATCTCCCTCCCAATATAATCTTCCATTCTTAGCCAGCTTCAATTCCTAGCTCCATTTTTGCAAAATCATTATTAAGATAAAGAGATCAACTGCAAAATACTTAAAAACGGGGGGGAAAAAATCATCATCATCAAACGTCGTTGAGTAATGGTGAAGTCAGAGGTGAAGATCCAATCTGAAGCATCCAAGGCAATGTCATCTTTATCACCAAAATCGCAACCATCATCGTCATCGTTGAAGAAGAAGTACAAAGGAGTTAGAATGAGGAGTTGGGGTTCATGGGTATCTGAGATTCGAGCTCCAAACCAGAAGACTAGAATCTGGCTTGGCTCCTATTCAACCCCTGAGGCTGCTGCTAGAGCTTATGATGCTGCACTCTTATGCCTTAAGGGCTCCTCTGCTAACCTCAATTTCCCTCACACTGCTTATTCCACTACCTCCCCTCTTATTCCTGCTACAAATGCTGCTGTTGCCACTGTCATGTCCCCTAAGTCCATCCAAAGAGTAGCCGCTGCTGCTGCTGCGGCGACTAATACCACCACCACCACCACCACCACTACTACGGATGAACACACTACTCAAGCTCACCCATCAACATCATCTTCTCATTCATCAATGACTTCCTCCCCTTCTCAGTCATCCTCGCCGCCACCCTCAGACCAGCTCATTGATGATATCATCTCTCTTGCAGATGATCCCTATCATCCAACTTTTGATGACATCAATAATGCTGCCTCTTCCATGGTTATGATGAATAATGACTACCCATGGTTTGATCTATCTCCTAAACACTTGGATCCTGTGATGATGAACTCCATGTTCTTCAATCCCCCATCTATGAACATGATGGATATCGAGCAGCTATACGATGATGGGGACATTCCCTTGTGGAGCTTCCGCTGATCAATCCATTCTATTTTTCATCATTATTCTTTTTTCCCTATCTTCCAATTCATTTCAATCACTACTTCACTAGTTCTCGCTCCAAGGGCCAACTTGAGGACATCACTAACAATTACATTTTACATACACACACAATATATGCTAATCTATGTACTGTATTTGTTTACGGAGTAGCTAGTACTCCTTCGATTTTAGCATATGCGTATACAACTAGGCTAGAAAAGAGGGGGTAAAAATATACTTATATACATATATATGTGTTTACATTTGAGGTCTGGCATTTTTTTCAGCCTCGTATATATACTTGAATTGTAATGTGCAAAGTTTCGCAAATAGTTTCATTATTTAAGAGCATTGAATTAACTTGGCTGTAATGTTTATGCAAGTATTCGTTATACATACTCCGATCCTCTATTTATTTTTCTCGAGAATCCATTTGAAGGGAATAATGGCTTGTCGATGATGATTCATTCTAATAATGTGTGCATTTTATTCCAAAATCATTTCTTCCTCAACCATGTACATGTCATTATGTTTCCTCTTTATATACCAGCGAGATCTTCACTTAATGGATGAAAGGACAGTGGGAGTGTTAAATCAAGTACTTGGTATAGACTATGGAAGTATGGAGTAGTAACTTGGTGAAGTACTCGTAACTAGTATGAAAATAGTGGGGTTTTTTTGTTTGTTTGTTGGAGGAAGGATGTTTCGTGAGAGGTTCAAAGGTTAATTAGAAGAAATAATGTTATTACGCAATTTTTTATTTATTTTTTGTATAGGGAAAGTTCCCAGAACATACTCAACCTAGCTATTTGACAACAACTGGGAAGGAATAGCATAGCAGGATATGCAAATTTTACGCGTACTTATTCGCTAGTATATAATTAAAGAAGAAAATTACATTCCTTGATTTTTTTTAATCTTTTTTTTTTTTAAAAAAAAAAAAATTAATGGGAAATTGTTACGCAATTTATCAAACAAAACAACACTAAAGAGTAAAGACACAACCACAGATAATCCCCAAGTATAAGAGGTTTGTATGAATAGTACAAAACTTCAAACATTGTGATTACAAAAGAATGGATGAAGTATGTATTTTTTTTTTTTTTTCCTTCAAGATATCTTATTACAATTTGCATTGAAAAAAAGACCTTTCTGTGAGTGATTATTGGAAACATAACATTAAATTATCAATTTAACCAGTTCTAGCAATTTCCATTATTGACCCAACACCATCATATCCTAGACCTTTACGTGAATGATTAGTGGCTAGTTGAACACGGTTCCAAACATTTTTTATGAACTCGGGATGCATCCCTCACATTATTTAAGTTTTGACATCGGGTGTCAATTTTTAGGAAATAGAGTCCGTTTTCTGTACTTGGTTATTTTTTGGAAAAATTACCCGAAATAATCCTAATTTTGGAGTGTCCACCCAAAATAATCTCACATTTGGGTTATTTTTAAAAAATCTGACCTTTATAGCCAATCCGCTCTGAATGGTCCCAACCGGCAAACTAACCTGTTAAAACAAGTCACCTAACACGTGTCGTCCTGCTATTGGTCAAAAAATAAGAATAAAAAAATTAACAATTTTTTTTATATAGAAAAAATAATTAATTATTTTGAAAAGGCCCTCACCAGCCAGAACCACCCTCTCAGCCGCCTGTTCCCTTCAGCCCACATGCCGGAGTCTCCTATCCCGCACGCCAACCGTGGAAGGAGCCGTCGTTAACGTATGGCCGCACCGTGGACCCACCCCACCAAATAATTCGACGCACACCACGAACACCCCTGACCCTCCTAATAATTCGACGCACACCACCTAAGCTACACACCAACACCGGCGAGCAATAACTGCCCTCCACCCTCGATTTTGGAAAGCGTCGTTCCGATTTCGGCACCTCTGTCGTTCTCCAGTTCCGATTTCGGCCTCCTCACCTTCCCTGCCCCGTTTTCGGCCTCCCTCTTTGATTTCGGCCTCCTCCCCTTCCCCCTCCTTGATTTCGCCCTCCCTTACCATTCCCTGTCGTGATTTCTTCCTCCTAGACCACCGATAATAACGACTTGATTTCTGCCTCCTAGACCACCGACAGTAACGACGACGATTCGACGACGACATATCTTGCGTCACGAGCTCCGATCTCACGGTGATCCTATTTGACGCTTATTGCGGTGGCAGGGGCTTGGGGAGTGGGTGACTGTCGGATTTTTTTTATTGAATTCATTTTTTTAAAATTTAAATTTTTAGACAAATTATACAATGACACATGTACTTTAATAAAAAAAAATATCTATTTAACAGGTAATCAGTCACTTGGGACCATTATGAGCAGATTGACATCAAAAGTCAAATTATTTAAAAATAATCCAAATGTGAGATTATTTTAGGCGAATGCGCCAAAGGTGAGATTATTCTGGACAACTTTTCCTTTACACTTATTAGTCTTAGAAAGTTTTTGACTTTTCAAGATCAATAACTATATTAGGCATACTATCATAGTGAATCTCATGATCTTTTAAGTCTTGTGGGTTCTACCTTGTATTTTTTAACTACTTCCTATGTTTTCTTGTAATTGTAACATTTTGAACTTTCACTTTTGTCAAAATATTATTTCAACCCTTTAATAATGTAAGGTAATCAAATAGATGACTAAATAAAAGCAAATTTTCAAATATTACACTTATTAAAAAGAACGGAGGACTGAATAAATTTTTTTCTCTCTCTCTCTCGTTTTTAGAGAGATAGTTCCCTCTAGGGTTTTCTCTTGGGAGGATTTTTCCTAGCCTCTTTTGCTAGGATTTTTCTTTGTTTTTTCTTTAATCCTTCCCTACTTCTCTCCATCTCCTTCATTCTTGATTTTTATTTGTGAATTTTGTAGGGGCTTTTACGGGTTTTTACCGATGAAAAGCCCCAAAATCTCTTTAATTGCTTTCAATAAAAAGATATCATCCTTAAGATGGTGTTCATGGTCGGGATTTTAATTACTTGTTTATTGAAGAATGAAGATCGAATGTTTCGCAATTTCTACCGGAGTTTAGAAGACCACGGAAGTATATTCATCCAAAAAATTATACATATGCAGATCTTATGCCGAATCAGAGCAAACTCACAGATTGTATTGCTTCGAATGAAGTTTTTTTGTTAAAGCGTATCAATCGATTCTGCGATGTTGTTAATTTTAGGGTTTTATGTATTTTTGTAGGAATTTTAAATTTCTCAAAAATTTATTGTAAGTGTCGTTTGGCTATTTTATAAATGAAATCTTTAATCTTCTCGTAAATAAATAAATAAATAAGAGAACGGAGGACTGAAGTATGAATGACTGTAGGAAACGAACGCTCCTAGCTCACAACAAAGTTGCACATGTACTGCCTTTATATATGCATGCAAGGGGATGACTGCATGGGGCACCATCCTTAATTACATGCCTTATTTTATCCATTTACATTGCATTTGGTCTCTTCAAATATGCAGGAGCTTGATTTTCTGTTTCATTTAACTTTTGGATGCGATGTCCGGAATATTACTAATACTAGTATGGTGCTTAATATGGGTCCCTCACTTGCTTAATTAGGGATAAAGAGTCCAAAATCTGCAATTAAGTGCACATTAGCTTGTGGGGGCCTACTATTTTTGGTTGATATCATGGCCCCATCATCACGGTTAACTTTGCTAAAGATGAATGCACATGATGCACTTGCCTTGGTACCATTCTTGATTCCCATGCATGGTGTTATAATGTTCATATTAGGACACATCATGTGATCTTAGAGCATCATTTTTTTTTCAAAGATAGAGCATCATTTTTATAGTAATGTATAATTTTATAACTTCTTTGTATACTTGAATACCCCGCCAGACGTTTTATCTAGAGGTGTCAAAAGTTGACCCGACCCAAAATACCGACTCAAACCAGATTATTAACCGAACCATCTGAACTCGAAAAAATGGTGACCCAAACCCAACCTGAAACCAACCCTAGACCCGAGTTGACTCGAGTATGTGTGAACCGAACCCGAACATGAAGTAATCTGGAGATGACCCGACCCGAATGTAACCCGTAAATTATTAACCTGATCCGAACCTGACTTGAACTGAAATTGACCCAAACCCGTTTTAACTCGTCAAAACCCGAATTTACCCCGACTTGTTACTAACCTGACCTGAATTCAACCCGTCCCGTTCCTAACACAACCCGAATTTAACCTAACCTTTTACATACCCAACCCGAAATCAACTCGACTTGTTATTAGCTTGACCCAAATTCAACCTGACTTGTTATTGACCCGACCCGAAATTTACCAGACCTATTAATAACCTGACCAAAAAATTCAACCCGATCTGTTACTAACCCAACTCGAAATCAACACGACTTGTTATTGACCCGACCTAAATTCAACTCAAATTGTTTCTGACCCGATTTCAAATCACCTTAAATGTAATTTAGACCACTTTATTATTGTTGATCAAAGCATTTTATCTAGGGAGACCAAGTCGGTCCAGGCCAGCAAAAGAAAGGAGCATCATCCTCATATTTTAGAATTAAGTATAGTATATATTTGTTGTATGGTTAAAGGAGATAATTATCTTCCTAAATTATAGGTAATAGTTCCCTATTATATTTTCATGTATATTATAGTCAAAGGAAATAATTAGCTTGATAAAAATGATAATTATTTATTTATATTTAGTTGAACCCGGATATGACTTGACTTGGAAATGACTCGACCTGATTGTAACCTGCAAATTATTGACTTGATAGCCCGACTTGAATCCGAGAACGACCCAACTTGGGAATGACCCAACCTGATTATAACCCGCAAATTATTGACTTGAATCGAACCTGACTTGAACCCGAGACTAACCCGACTCGAACTCGATAATTATCCTAACCCGTGAAAACCCGAATTAAGCCTGGCCTATTGTTCACCTGACCTGAATGTAACCCGATCTAAACCCGATAAGAAGTATGACCCGTCTCAAGCATGACCCAACCCAAACCCGAACAGCACAAGTTATGGAATTAATCCGCATTGACCCGACCCGAGCTGACCCAACCCACTCTTACCGACCTAAACCCAACTTGTTTACCCGAATTGACAGCTCTACCCGAAAACTCCAAAATTTTTCAAAAAGTGTGGATGTTAGCATTCAATTTTGAAATTTTTTAACTTTTTTTCACCCAAAAATAAAAATTGCCAAAATGTTTACCAGGGTCTCTAATACCCTCCAAGAGTCCAATTGGCTGGGTGGAACCATTTAATTTGCCTTTAAACGACCAATTTACCATTTTACAACATGCACTGATTTCATTAACTCAAGCCTACCACGAACATTTATGACAATATAT